TGTATCTGTAGTTCCTGTTACTGCTGCTGCTGCTGCTGTTGCTGCTGCTGCTGCTGTTGCTGCTGCTGCGCACACAGGGCTGCTGCAGCTGCTAGTTGAAGTGACAGCTGAAAAGGAGACTCTGCTGCAGCAAAGGAGACAGCTGAGGGAGGAAGAGAAGCAGCTGCAGCAGCAGCTCGAGTGAGGAACTACACAATTAGGGTTTAGGGTTTAGGGTTTAGGGTTTAGGGTTTAGGGTTTAGGGTTTAGGTAGGGTTTAGGGTTTGGGGTTTGAGCGGCATGTCTCGCGGCGCTGTGTCTTTAGGGTTCAAGGAAGGGGCCTCAGTCTTTTTCAAGCAGTTCTGATGGAGTAAGGACACAAACCCTAAACCCTAAACCCTAAACCCTAAACCCTAAAAGGGGGACAACGGCACAGCGAAGCTAGGCGCGAAGGCTTTGCGCCTAAACCGTACACCCTAAACCCTAGCGCTAAACCCTCAACCCTAACCCTAAACCCTAAACCCTAAACCCTAAACCCTTTGTGGAATGCATCTCAGCTTCGGGGTCTCCGGCCTGCAGGGCCTTTTGGGCCACCCAAAGGAGTCCAAATTGAAATTTGAAAAAGACAAAAAAGAAAATAAAAAAGAAAATAAACATGAAATTAAAAATGAAACTAAAAATGGAATTAAAAATGAAATCAAAAATGAAATCAAAAAAGAAATCCAAAAAGACAAACCCCCTCCTTCCGCCAAGTACCTTCTTCAGGCCCGCAGAGATGCAGTAAGTCAGTACCCTCATTTTCACCTTAAGGGGCCCCCTTGGGGGCCCCCTTGGGGGCCCCTGGGGGACCCCTTGGGGGCCCCTTGGGGGCCCCCCTTGGGGGCCCCCAGGGGGCCACAGGAGCGGCTTCTAAGGAGGCCTTTAGGGTACTGGGGGCCCCTGGGGGCCCCCAGGGGCCCCCAAAGGGTTTAGGAGCCCCTGCTAAACCCTTCTGGGGGCCCCAAGGGGGCCCCCTGAGGCCCCTGTGTGGGGCAGGGAAGCAGCAGCAGCAATTTGACTCTTTATTTATTTATTTATTTGCTTTCGTTTTAAATGTTTATTTATTTTAAAAGTATTTTTAATTCTTTTTTTGCTGCTGGAAGTTTTCTTTATTTTCTCTTTTCTCTTTTTCTGTCTGCTGCTGCCAGGCCCTCCAAAGAGACACGGGGGGCCCCCCTGTCCCTTTTGCTGCTGTTGCTGCTGCTGCGGGGGCCCCCGTGGGACTGGAGGGCCCCACGGGGGGCCCCCC